GAGCGCGGGTGTGCTCAAAGCTATGTCTCTCCATTCGCGACATATCCGCCCGAGTATGTTTGGCGAAGAGCGACCAATCATTGGAGGGGGTTCAGGGTAGACGGGGAGGAAGTGGACAAAGATCTCCGAAACGATCTCGTTGGGCAGAGTGAAGACGGGGCAGGTGTATGCATTGAGTCGACCCTGAAGGATGTCGTTCTCCTTGTTCAGCAGTGAGCGGTCCAATTCCATTATTTGATGACTGCGATCGCAGTAACACGGCGGACAAGCCTTTGTCCTTTGCAGGATTGGCGCAGCTTGTCCTTTGACACGCCTCGCTCACGTCCTTTTACTAGCTCCGGCCGCTTTGGCCTTTCGGAGTTTCCCGCGGGCACGATGCAACCACGTGTTTTCGGTGTTTTCCGCGAGATAAATGACCTGAAATAATGTTTTTTTTGTCTTGGGCGCAGTTCTTGTTGAAATATTTCCGAAATGGTTGGAAGTTATTGAATGAGCAGAGGGGACAAGGCTGTGTGAAGAATTGGTGGTATAACATTAAAAACTGAGCCAGAACATGCCCCGAACACGATCAAATCAGTGCTCTGTTTTACTTAGCAATGCAGTTCCCCTAGAATGTGGCTGGGACGACTAGGTGAGTGTGTTAGTAGTTTTCCAGATTTTCCTAGCGCAAAATAAGGAGGCGAACACCTGGTTTACTGGTCTGTGACGAGGGGTGTGACCTCCCGGAACAGTGCGGCAGGGGGCGGCAGGGCCCGCCGGTCACACCCTTCCTGATATGTGTCCGGTGGCAATCCTCCTCCAAAATTGTTCATCCAAAAAATACATGGAGGTAGTTTCTTGGCTGTAAGTAATTCACAGACCTAGTTTTATTCCAGTTGGGCTGTTGAAAAAAGCAGAAGAGCCATTCTTTATCCTTCGGGCCTGTTTTCCATCAGCTTTTCAGAGTTTTCTCTCAAAGTTTGCTTCTAACCCTATTCTAAATATTAATAGGTTCAATCCCAATCATCTCCGAGAATTTTTGGATGAAAACCAAGCCCGGTAGAGAAAGAAAACTCATTTTGAACTTGTTCACCTCTTGGAAACATCCGAACACGCGTAGCTGCATCGTGCCCGCGGGAAACTCCGAAAGGCCAAAGCGGCCGGAGCTAGTAAAAGGACGTGGGCGAGGCGTGTCAAAGGACAAGCTGCGCCAATCCTGCAAAGGACAAAGGCTTGTCCGCCGTGTAAGTCTTTCCTTTCGGCTTGAGTGAGCTGTTTGGAGATTCGGGGCCCACCTGTGGGGTAATTCTAGGTGCGGGGGTGTCAGTTGACTGGAGCCTTCCTCAGAGTGTACTTACTTCGCTCGTTCGAGTTGTCCGTTCGTGGAAGTAAATCCAGTGGCTGTGTTTACATCCGTCTACCGCAAGTTTCCGCCAACTGATGTTAGAACGCAAAATAAATTAAAAACTATGTAGGGGCATTGCTCAGCTACGGACTCGTCTGGGACGTGGATGAACGGTGCGCGCGCGAAGAGGGTATCTACTGCGAAAAACTCGTCCGCAGACAGCGCGCCGGGCTCGACACCCTGCGCACATTTGCAGCCACACCGGGCATCCCGAGGCGGCTCTCGTGCTCGGACTCCTCGGCGATGACCTCCGCCACATAAGACCTCCACATGGCGCTCCCGCAGCGCGTGCACAGACCGCCGTACCGGGACCAAAGTACACCAAAACCATAGCCCACAGCCCACGGTGCCGGCTGTGTACCACAGTGCACACGTCGACCGTTTCTTGGGCACTGGTCAAGCCCTACCATCACTTGCGTACCCAACCTCTCCTCCTTCTCAGCACTGCACGTATACGTCCCGTCTGCCCACAATCGGATGAGCGCGTCGCCGCACCCCCGCACACCAACGCATCCATACCGTGTGACACGGCGTCAACGGTGGACTCCCCACATCCGGTATCCCATCCGGTATCCCCTCCTGCACCGGAAACCCGCAAAAGAAATGAAGTAGACGTATATACGTCCGGCACGCGAGCATGGCACCGTCCATGCCTGCACCCGCAGCGGTGGGGCTGCGTCGACGGTACATCCACCGAGCAGTACCCACCCTCGAGATTGAGGCGTCCACAAATAACGAAGGAAAAAGAAAGGCACGCTCCAAGCTAAAATAAACGACGTTAGCGAGGGCTCGAGATGAAGACTCGGAAGAGGAATAGAATAGGGGGAGGAAGAGAACCAAAGGAATGAGGGGGAAAGGCGCGCGCGGTGTACGTCCGCAACATCGGGAGGAAGTATGTACGATCCACGCCGCTGGCTGCGGGCTGCATGGCTCGGCGCGCATTCCGGGGACTCCCTCAGCTGCACATGCTCCGTGTCCTCCTCGCTATCGCTATCGTCTGCTTGCCCGCGCTCTCCCCGGAAACGAGCAGAAATGAAATAAAGAACATGCAAGGAAGGAGAAAGCGCACCCAAGCCAAAATACACAGGATAACCTAGAGGAGGAGAGACGTCAGCTAGGCCTTGGCAGGAAGAATAAGGGAGAGAGATAATAGGAATGGAAGGAGGCGAGGCATGCGGGGTGGATGAGCAACCGCAGCGTATTCGGCGCGTACACGAATGCGGTCCTTGACGAGGGAGATTCCGATCGCGTGGTGGTGATAGGTTCTCGTACGCGCCGAGATGGCCACTCCCGCATCCATTCCTGTGCCCGACTGCTGGCGCGTCCTCGTCCTCACCTTCGCTCTCGTCTACTCCCGCACCATCCGCACCCGCTCCTGCCGCATCGCAAGCGCATTTTCCCTCCGTAGCCCTAGCCCTACCCCGAAGCCCCGACGCTCGCGCTTGCCCAACCCACCCGGCTGGCGGCGTAGGATTACTACCGAGGTGCCGAAGGGGTGCAGGGATACGGGGAGAGCGCCGCCTTATGCTCGTCGCACCGGCACTAAGATGCACAGGAGATGCGCGCTCGGTGTCCGAAGTATGTGCATCCCGCCCTTGCGCACATCGACTTCCAGCGCCAGCGCCTCCTTCGTTCCGCTCCCGCGATGCCGGTTTCCTCGGAGACATTTCCGGGCGAGTGCAAGTCGTATGGGCGGTGGAAGAGGATACCCGCGCGTGCAGTCGGCGTTGGTTATTTGCACCCAAAGCAGAAATTCCGCGCCGCGTCGATGGCCCGTCGCCACTCGCGTCAGCGTGCCTCGAAGGGGATTTCCAATGGGAATGCGAGGGTATGATTGCCATGCCCTGGACTCGTTATGCACTGCGCTCACGAGCCATGCGGTAGAGACTCCCCAGGGGCACCCGCTGCCGGTACGATCTCTTGGAGACGCATTGTTGCTCTTGGCCCTTGAGCATTTCCGGCGGCGCGTGGAGGGAGACGCCGGAGGAGGTGGAGCGGCGAAGACACGCCGGCATCCTCGACCGCGCGCTGTGGCAACGAAGAGCGTTGTCCGTACGATTAGAGGTAGAGGTGGGCATAGAACCGTTCACGTTCGCGGAGAAGAGGCGGAAAGGAGTGAAGAGGGAGATGAGGGCGAGATGCGGTGAGTCCCAACGAAGCAACTGAGACGTAGACGCGGCGGAGGTTTGCTGCAGGGTGAAAGGCGAGGTATTTATTCAGCTCTACAAGTATGCGTCAGAATTGGAGTTAAATGGCTTCGAGGGCAGTGGGAGGACAAAGGTATACACACCTTTTGCGCTCACAGTCCCAGTTAATGTCGTCAATCTTCCTCGGATGCGGGTGGGGTTGTGGAGGTCTGGCGCGCGCCGTGGTAGGCGGAAGGAGGAGAGTAGAGCTGTGGACATGTCGTTAGTTGGCGGAATCAAGTGGATTCGGAAACACTGAAGGATTGGCAAAGAGGGCAGCATTGCGAGCAGCGTAAATATGGCGACAGAACGGTGGCCAGAGGGAAAACAATCCAAAAAGAACGAGAAACTAAAACACACCGAACCCAAGCGCCCGACATCAGTATGAGGCACGGCCTCTCCTGGAGTTCCTAAGATCTTCAGTGCGCGCCAGGATGGTCAGTTGTTGGTCGACGAAAGCTGCGAGCGTATTGAGGCTACGAGAAGATCGTCGCGGCAATTCAAAACTTCATTCATCTTCGGAAAGATTACAGAACATCGGAGAAGATCGACTGGAATCCAGAAAAGGACCCAGAGAGGTAAGAGAGAGAGAGAAAAGAGACAAATTCAAGAGGGAGTCGGTTGAGTCGGCACGGTGCCGCTGACAAGCCGTTGCGGTAAATAGGGGTAAATGATGAGCACAGCCACGCGCGTGTTCGGCCAGCAAACCACCAGTGGTCCAGAATAGTTAGTCCTTAGAAAACTGCGCAAGTGACGGGTCTGTGCTTTTGGGAAATCTCTCTCCTTTAGCTCTGGCGCTCTTGAGGTCTTTCCCACTCCCGGGCCGACGAGTCTCCTCCAACTTCCGACGCAGTCGCATCATGCCACAGTTGTTGGTCGACCCGCTGGATCCGATATCGATGGGCGTCCTGGACAGCGAGATTACTGAGTCAAATTCTAACTTACTGTGTGTCTTTCCGGCCCAGGCCGCTCGACGGCTGGCTGTTTCCTTGTGAATCAGGCAAAAATCAGGCAAACTTGTTCAGTTTGGTCTCGTCCGACGAGTTTCTAGCCCTCCAAACAGCAGTGAAGTCTCTTCAACCGGCTCAAAAACACATGCTCCGCGGTTGAATCAAGGAGCCACACTTCCCGACGAGTTTATTTTCAATGTTGAATCCAAAGCGCTGGCCTAAACGTCCAGTACCCTGATCATGGGCTCTCCACATTGAAGCCCCTGCACGTCTTAGGCTGGATAGACCCGTCCAACCTCCCTTAACACGTCAAGCAGACCGTGAGGCAGATACTGAGTTACTTACTTATTTTTCAACAAAATGGCACTCGCATTCCTTCTTTCTCATGATTAAAGCATAGTCGTACGCAGGCCGGAACCTCATCTGTGATGAACTGGGAACCAAAAGGAGCAAAAGAAAAACAGTCTCTTACAAGACGAATGCCCTTGGCGGGATTCGAACCCACGTCTTCCGTAGACACCATTGTGTACCGCCACAAGTAGCATGGGTGATCCCCAACTGATCCACAAGAGCTCCATACTCTTACTACACCCTATACTACTGTAGCTAGACATTGAGGCCAGCGAATTTACTTCTGACTCGGGCGCTCTGTTTGATCGCAATCAGCAATCATTCCCACGGTTGAATTTTTGCAATGTCTTTGTGAAGCGCGGGAATTCAATCTGAAATGACATACGCCAACCATTGATTGGCGCTGGCGAAGGTCTCCGTGGAGGATTCGCGCGGACGAATAAGAAGCTAGTTATGTCCTCAACCTCTCATTATTGGACCGTAGAATCGCATCCATATCTTGTTTTGAGCTCTTTCACTCGCTACGCGTGTGTTGTTGCAATTCCAATTTGAACCAACGGGCAGTGCAGAAGGTTGGAATTTCCTCCCCTGTACTCCTGATACTGTTTCGTTTCGTGATAGTGCTACCATTACTTGAATTCGGCAAAGGGGACGTGATTAGACCTGAGCAACGACCGACCAACAACAGAAAAAACAGCGGAGTGTCCGTTGGATGCACGCCCGTCGACTGGCATTGCGTGTTGGTAACTGGAAAACAACAAAGCGGTGGGCTAGGTCCCGTTGCCGTCTCGCCGAGTTACTGGGCACCATGACCCAACCTCTCGGCGCAGGTTGAGGTACGTATCAAGAAACCGCAGTTTCGCCATCCAGCACTTAGCGCGTGCGTTAACAGCAGCGAAGGCCTGGGTGCAAAAAAAAATGGAGATCGTTCCAATTATCAGAATTTCTGGATACTATGCTGCCATTGAATTAGATGAATTAAAGAGACACACTCGGGGACGATGTCAATCTGAATCACTTTCCGCAGCTTCACCACCATCCGTTGCTTTTTCATCCTCCTCGTCCCCGGGTACAACCCAACGGTTCACTCGGTCTAGTTCATGACTCACGATGGAGCCAACGGTGGGCAAGGCGAGGCGATACAATTCAAGAGATGCCTGGGAACACCGAGGGATGTATAATTCTTGTATGCTGCACCTAGATCGTGAGACCAGTGATGTGAGAAGATCGAGAAGGTCTCCTTGCAGGAGACTGCTGTTGACTTCAAGTTTCCGGAGCGCTGGAAGGGTGAGGAGGTCGAGGAATTTCCAGGGTATGTTGCGGGGAGTTAAATCGTGTAGAATTAAAGTCGAAAGGTATGGGAGCATTATATTTTGTGAACTAGATCTCGTGGTTAGTTCAGAGGTAGACACAGAACGGGATCGCACATACGGCTGGGATACATCGACGTCCACCCAGCCAACAAAAACATTGCAATGGACTAGATCGAGTGCTTGGGTCAAGATATCGACGCAGTGATGTGGCAGGATCAAGCGTCCGACGAACGTCGTCAATTGGGACCACGGATAGACAGAAATACAGTGCACGGGCCAAGATGCAACGGCAACCGTTCGCAGCAGAGGTGCCGCATGGAGCGCCTCCCTGAGTGAGTCGGTACCACTTACCACGGGCTTTACCGAGTCCATAGTAAGCTCGCGGAGGAATGGGAGAGGAGCGCTGATAGATGGGAAATGATGCCCCAGTGAAAAGAGTTGCAGATACTCCCAGCGAGCGCTGTGAGCTGCAATTGCGTGCGTGAATAGATCTAAAGTTGCCGCCAGATTTGTATCGGCGTCGTCGCCGGGGTCCATATCATCGACTTCGAGGTCCATGTGAATGGATAGCAGGCAAGACCCCGAACGTCGAAGCCAAAGTTTGAGGAGGCGAAGCTTTTGGTCAAATTGTTCCCATTGGTCAAGGACAAGGAGATTCCCCGCCAGAGCGCGGGGGTGCTCAACGCTATCTCTCTCCATTTTCGACAGATTTGGCCTAGTACATTAGGAGAGGAGTGGCCGATCGGATAATTGGAGGGGCCTCGGGGTAGACAGGAAGTGGACAAAGATCTCCGAAACGATCTCGTTGGGCAGGGTCAGGATGGGGTACGTGTACGCGTCGAGTCGACGCTGAAGTGTGCCATTCTCTTCGTTCAACAAGGAAAATGAATGTTCCAATTCCAGTATTTTAGCCTTCACGACCGCAATACGAGCGCGATCGGCGGCAAGCGAGTTCCTGTGCCTAAATTCTGCGCCAGCCGGCGGTGTCATCCTGAGTGAGTAAGTACATAAATCCAAGAGTCTGTGGCGAGGTCTTCTGGATTCACGCACCTGGCTCACGTAGGTGGAGGTTCGAAGAAAGCCGACCGGTGGCGGTGCCGGCTGAGCCGCTCCGAGTCGGCATGCTCGGCTAGCGAGTTCGGCACGGTAAATATTATCGCAACTCGCAGGGCAAACCGATGCAAAAAAAAGTTGACTAGCCATTATCACGCCACCACATTTACTTCGGGGCTAGAGACGTTCGCTCTTTCCCTCAATCAATTCTCCGTGCAAGACTCAACTCCGGGCATCTCGGGCATCACTTCAACCTCGGTGTTGCGTTCAGTGCCCTTCAGACAGACCCGAGTTTCTTTAGCTGGTGTTTCCCGGGTCTGTATTCCTCTTGCGGCATCATGTCAAAGCTAAACCCGCTGGCGGGTTGAATACTTCGCCTTGCGGCACTCTCGACGTAAGTGAACAACCGCGGCTTCGCCATCGAGCACTGAATACATCTCGTCACTGGAGCGGAGGTTGGAAAAATGGGAAGAATAAAGGTTTCCGAATAACACATTGGATGAATAACGAACAGAGTCCAGACCAAAAAGGGAAGCAAGGGAGGTTCAAGGAAGTTTAAGAGAGCTCTCGGAAGGTGTCCGGAAGGAATAACTATTGGGTTGCCATTGATTAGGAGATTCGACAACATGGCTAGTGGTCCATTTTTATCAATTCAAAGGTAGTCTGGTGTTTACCGCGGGATCAATACAAGGAGGGTCGGGCTATTACATAATCTTCGGAGTTTCAAATTCCCCTCTCACCATTCAGTGCCTTCAGTGCACCGATTGGCTCAATCTAAGAGACTGTTCCTTTTGTAATTCCACTAACCCGCTTTCTGCTTCCTCAGAATATCCCCCAGGTGGCGGACTATGCCCAGAAGAAATAATTAGCTTGTTCAGCGGCCAACCTCTGAAAGTTCGGCATCGCGTGTCGCAACTCTGACACAAAACCGTAAGAGAGGAAGTTATTTGAACTTACCCAGGGAGCATTAATCGACGATAAAACACGTGAAATCCACGTCCTGAAGAGCCATTCAAGTTTGAGAATTTTGATAAGGGGACCCTCCTGTCAAACGTCAAGGGGAATCGACAGACTACAACAAACGAGGTACGAGTTTTTAGTTGTAGCGTCTGTTTATAAGAGACTAATTCAAAGGACTGAGGGTAAAAATTTGAGCTACAACCCCCCTTGGATCTGTTGGGGTCGGAATGCTCTCAGAGACAAGATAAACAATCTAGAACTCTTTTTGAGAGTCCCAACATCTCGCGAGGTGTTGCGAGTGGTAACAAAATGAACCTGATCTCATCAAGGTACCAGAGATTTGTACAAGCTCCTCCTGACGTATGTTCAAATCGACGGGAGTGTTCGTGCGAGGGACCGCAACATCGCCTGCAATCCCGTATGTCAGGGTTTAACCGAAGTCTTGACCGTGACAGTGTTCCGTGGTGCGGTGTTTACAGTTTTGCGAGTGCTGTGTGGAACCACGCAAATTCGAACACAAGTTCAACGGGCTTCCTTCGTCCTTCTTGAACTGAATTCTGTCCCATGGATTAGATTGTTGTTGAATTCCGGGAGTCCAGGTTGCATAACGGTGAATACACGGACGTCGAATACCGAGAAAAACATTTGAAGTGAGCTTGGTGTATTGCAGGGCAGAGAGTGAGATCCATTAAGCAACCGTGCAGGTCAAGGGGACGTCGGGATTAAATTTTTGGATTGGGGGAAGAGGGGGGGGGGTCTGGCCAAGGCCGAAAAAAACTTTGTACTATAACTTTTGGGAGGGCGTAAAAATGTTAGTAGAGGCATGTGAGAGGCCCTAGGGAGGGAAAAATCTTTGAATTTTACTTCCCACTCACCTCAGAAGGTGTTGAAATGTCAATTTCAGCCAAGTTCAACAAAAGTGGTTGGTCGGAGCAGGTTCAAGTTTTTTTTTGCAAGTCTAATAAAAGCCTCTGTGGCACTTTAGATAAGTTCAGGAAGAATAATGTGCACTTCAGGCATTAAAACTAAGCGGCAGTAGTTGTCCGACGGAGGTTCAATAGGTGGCGGAAAGTCCGGAGGGAGCGGCCCGGCGGCAGGGGTGGGAGACACCTTCCCGATATGGCGGGGGAGGGAGTCCAGCCAAGGCTAAAAAAAAAACTTTTCGACCCCCTTCCGATTTTCGAATCCCGACGTCCCCTTGGTGCAGGTTACATGCCATCAGATCACAATGTGGCTGACCACGGATTCCGTCGTCGATAAGAGGCAAGTGATTCCTAATTACGATTTATGAGACTGTTGAACAACCCTGGAAAGAATCCTCGGGTTCCACATATTGGCAAAATTTCCGAGGTGCGAAGCGTCTGCTTCTGGGGGCTGTACATGAGTGGTTGTCAAAGGTGGACCCACTATCTCCGGCATTCTCAGCCGATAGGTCGTCGTCTCGAGGCCAACTTGAACCAACCTGAACTGCCGCATATTAAACCATACTGCGATATTGGATGGCTTGACAGAATAATGTAGTGCTACAGAATCTAGTTTTGAATTTCATGTGAAATAGTCTCCATTTTCAGTCTGGTAGGATATTTAAAATATGACCGGCGAAGAAAGGCGTTCATAAGCACTCGGGTATGTTAGGGAAGGCGTACTCCGCCTCCTTTCGTAATTCGAAATGGATTCCGCGAAAGGCGTCGGTCAGGGCTCCGAGTTCATGCGAGGCGAGGCGCGGTACCCCAGCTGCGAGCACGTTGATTCGACACCGAGGTTCTGAGGGAAATTCAATTATTAAGCAGACACCCCGGTCAAACGTACGGAAATATGAGTCAGACGACTCAGCAGAGGGCGCCTTCGAATCCGCCGCGCCTACTCGTGATGCATTCTGGGATGCACTCTCGGTGT